TACATTCATTGCTCTGAAAATCTGATAGCTTCCAGCAAATTCTCAAGCGGTTCTTAAAGGATTAATAACTACTTATAATACCCTACCCACAAGGCCAGTGGAGAAGGAAATGGCAACCCACTCCAGTATTCTTGCCTGGAGAGTCCCAGAGATGGAGGCTCCTGGTGGGCTGCCATCTATGGGGTCGCACAGAGTCAGACACGACTGAAGCAACTTAGCAGCAGCAGCATAAGGTCTGTAGTAGATAGAAGGGTACTAAAAAGGAAAAAGTAGTGACTATCCATTTAGTTAGCTAACCCAGGAAGAGGGCTTGTTTCATGGAACGTGCATATGTGTGTGTATACGCGAGAAAAGTAAAACTGAGAATCCAACATCCTGGTATTTATTTTTAATATGAATGATCCTACAATTCTTATCAATTTTACATCAGAATAAAGAATTTTAGCAAGGGACAGGAAAACTGTCAAAGAAAACTGGGGAGAATTGTTAGGTAGGATATCTGCCAACTAATCAAAATGTATCTAAATTGAAATTTGAAGGGAAGAGAAAACTACTTTACAAGTTTATAAGCAGATACCAGACATGGCATCAGAAGAGAAATTAAAAGACAAAATTGTGGTGACACAGAGCTAAGCAACTGTCCCTCAAATTTCACTGGTTTATATTAAAAATATAATAGATTAAATAAAATATTAAATAATTTAGTAAGTAAGGAGTAAATATTTCACATATTCTGCTCCCTTTTCATTTCACTGGTGTATAGTGACCTAAATTACTCTAAAATCAAAAGTTTCCTTGTGAAACATTCATGTAAGATTCTTCTGTATGTTAAGTGGATAATAACCCTTAGTACTGAAAATTTTCCTGGGTTTTAAAACTGTTTATAAAAATAGTATAGAACACATATAAGAAAGTAAAAGTATTAAACATTTTTTGTGTTTTTATCTTTAAAAATAAAAAAACTTCAAAATGGAAAAAGTAGGTATATTATTAAGTGGTAACTGAAATTAAACATAATATGGATAAGAAGATACTTAGCTTCTTTTTAGAAAAATAAAATACAGGAGACAGAAAGAACTTATAGATAAGATTCATCATTTTTTGAATCTTCAAATTATGGAAACTTTTAAAAGAGGTATAATAACATCAAACACTGTTAAATACCTTGCTTTTCAGAAAGAAGAGTATATTAAATTCTGTACATTCCAATGGTTTACTTTAGCATTGCTCCCTGGCCAGAGTTTAGAATAAGTTATTAGACAAATGGATGATGAGCACATAGAAAAGAAAGTGAAGTTACTAATGGCCATCGTGGGTTCACTGGAAAAAGTTATGCCAAGTGAACTGCTTTCCTTTTAATAGCTTCTAGTACCACCGGGGAGGATGAGTTCTAAATCTTCAAGCAGATTCTTTAGGTGTTTTCCCTTGTGCTCTACCATATTTCTTATCACTGACTTTTAGTGAAGGCCTGAAAACTTAAGAAGAAAAATGTCTGACTAAATTGGAAACAATAAGAGCAGTTATGGCAGCTGAGAGATTCAAAAGCACAAAAACTAAAGCTGGGAGAACTTGAAACCAACATAAACAAGATTAAACTGTGGCAAGCTCAAAGTACTCCCCACAGGATGGGTGGCTGTCAGTTGCTTCTGGAAATTGAGGACAGTATGCATCTGAGCAGCACCTTGGCAGGAATACCTTAATTAATATCAGACTGCCAAGTCCTGGCTGGCTCATATGCCTAAGTATTTGATGGGCTTATCAAGGGAGGATAAGATGCCTGGGAAAGACCCCAAGACAAATAGCTCTAAAATGAGGACAAATTTTCAATTGTTGACTTGCTTTTTAACTTCTCTTATCTTTTATACCAATGACCTCATTGCTTATCAGGGAAAGGGTGCTATTAAAATGACTAGAAGATACCATGAAAAGGTTATTATGAATGATCATACATAATATATTGAGAGATACAGTCTAAATAAACTTATTTCTTTGAGTTTGTTTTAAAATATTATCTCATATTCTCTTGATGCCAACATGCATCTTGAAGTCCACAGATCTTTCTAAGATTACCAAAGAGAGCATGTCTACTACCTGAGGCGTGGAGAAAGGATAAAATGAATAGATTTTCAAGGCAACAACTTCAATCAGGGTAAAACTAAACAAAAAACCAAAACAACAAAGAAAATTGGGTCAGAAAGAGGGGAAGGTGAAAGGCCAAGCAAAAATATCTGGCTGAACTTGACTAAAGCTATCTTTTATTTCAAGCAAAATGAGAGTGTGGTCAATGCCCTGCAACACTTAGTTTCCACTCTTTAATGAGACTATATATTTCCATAAGAATAAAGATGATCACAATTTTATTGACCCTCTTCCAAACTTTCTGCAGTTCTGAGCTTCCACAGTCCTCATGTCAAAATTACTTGATTTTTGTTTGTTCATTGAACTTATAATTGGTTTACAATGTTGTGTTAATTTCAGGTGTATGGCAAAGTGACTCAGTTTATATAAATAAATATGCATAATATATTGCAGCTCAGAAAATCAAAGACCAAATATTTCTTATGTCATAATGGCCACTCGATGACTTACTTTACCTTTTTTCCACTCTTCAATAATTTGTGCAATAGAGATGCATCCAATAGAAAATCAGTATTTAACAATTTTAAAATATACATGAATGAGAAAAATTAAAAATAAGAGTAATTAAATTTAATTAGGTTGTGTGGAGTAAACTGATCATCTTGCTTCATGTACTGAATTATTTGAGCCTAAGGAAATGGAGGCTCATTAAACAGTTCTCATCATACTTCTATCATGCTAACAGATACTATTCTCTCCATATCATGATTAATACAAAAAGGAAAAAAAAAAACTGAGATAAAACTGGTAGTGAAACTCCAAACAAAATCAGTTTATGGAGATTAACAAAAGAGATAAAATTTCACTTACAGATAACCATAATGAACTTGGAGTGACATATTCTTGCCCTCTTTAACATCTAGAGAATTTTATAGTTAGCAGTAGGAGATTACAGTAGAAGAGGTTAAGATATGGAGCTTTTTCCCCCTCAGGCTAGATTTATAAATTTGGCATGAAGTTTCTTCTCTAGAGTTGGGTAAAGAGGTCAAACATAGCTATGTAACCCAGTCATTTCCATCACTGTGTACATATCGTTGTTTGGGTACAAGCAAAAATAACAAAAAATACACTAGCTACAATAAGAAAAATGTGGAAACAGTTGAAATTGTATCAGAAGATTTCAAAAATCAAATAAAAAGCTAGAAAAAAAATCGCACTTAGAAATTGGCAGGAACTAGAGATAATCAGTGGTTTAGGGAGCAGGTAGTTCTCTGCAGTGTCTCAAAAGAATGAACCCCAAGTGTTTCCTTTCTTTATGTCACTCAAATTCCAGGGAGAAAAGTCCCATGAATCTAGCTTAGTCCCATGGTTAGAAGGGTTAAGACACCTTGAGTCAATTATGCTAAACTGTTTGCCATGAGAAGACAAATAATTCCTCTCTTCCAAACTTTGGATTCTAAGACTAAATGAATGAACATTGGTTCGTTCTAAAATGACAAGTATCCACTACAACCACTAAAGTCTAAACCAGGTTTTAGTCGATACGAGCAATATTCATTTTACCATTCAGCTTGTTTAAGAAATATCAAATTTGTTTTCAATCTTTGTTGAAGATAAAAGTACCTATTAATCATTCAAATAAAGATTCATGTATCTTTATATGTGAAGAAGTTAACGATTGCCCTAGAACCTAACATTAGTGTTCTATCTAGGAAAAAGTAGTTACCAGCTCAAGAAATGAGACAATCTTACACAACTCTTTTATCTTGAATTTGTAACCATTAGTGGACACAAGTCTCATTTATAAACTTTTCCTATATAGACCACTGTGAGTTAGGTGATAAGTGCATAGACTTTGTAATAGAAAAATGATGAGATTCACTATGAAATTATAAAATGAGGGGCTAGTAGTATGACAGAAATCATTGAGGAAACTTTTCTAGCTTTCTTTAGACCTTTACCTGCATTTAGCAGGTAGCTGTTATCTTCCCAGGAGGTGGTAGAACCAGCAATGCTGTATGATACAGTAGCAGGAACTGTTAATTGTCTTCCAAGATAATGTTTTCCTTTACCTCCATAGAAATACAGCAAAGCAACAGTCAACTGGAATAGACTATGATTCTCAGTCTTCTTTGTAAAGGTCATGTATCTACATTTTGGCAGATGAAAAAAAGCTTCATGGGGCACTTTCTCAAACCCTCTTGAAAGACTTTAACAAGTTCTCTTTATCTTTTTTCCTGTGACACTTCTTTCCTGCTAGATGGAATATGAATTTGAAGGTCGAAGCTGGAACATCAGCATTGGACTACGGGGTAATTTTGAGAATGAAGCCTTTGATTCTTGTTGTTGTTTGGTCGCTCAGTCATGTCCAACTCTTTGTGACCCCATGGACTGCAGCACGCCAGGCCTCTCTGTCCTTCACCATCTCCCAGAGCTTGCTCAAACTCATGTCCATTGAGTCGGTGATGCCCTCCAACCATCTCATCCTCTGTCATCCCCTTCTCCTCCCTCCTTCAATCTTTCCCAGCATCAGGGTTTTTTCCAGTGAGTCAGCTCTTCACATCTGGTGGCCAAAGTATTGGAGCTTTAGCATCAGTCCTTCCAATAAATATTCAGGACTGATTTCCTTTAGGATGGACTGGTTTGATCTCCTTGCAGTCCAAAGGACTCTGAAGAGTCTTCTCCAACAACACAGTTCAATAGCATCATGAGAGCCCCTTTATGCGGTCATGCTGAAGTAGCACCCAGATCTGGAATTGGACTGAAGCCTTTCCCTTGCCCGCTGCCTCCAGCCCCTTCTAGGCTATGGTCCCCTACAAAATGAGCGAGCTTCGTGCCTTCGTGAAAATATGTAAGCAGGACCAGAGCATTCTGCACGCCAAGAAAATGTGCTTCCTGAGGGTGCTTCCTAGGTGGAGAGCATGGTGGGTAAAATCGCACCTGCTGCTTCTAAATCTAAACTGGAAGAAAACACAAAGGAAGGAAAAACAGATGGTAAGAAGCCAGAGGAAAACATAAAGACAGAGGAACTGTCAAGTGAGGAAAGTGATCTAGAAATTGACAATGCAGGTGTGATTGAACCAGATACTGATGCACCTCAAAAAATGGGAGATGAAAATGTAGAGATAACTGAGGAGATGATGGATCAGACAAATGATAAAAAAAAAGTGGCTGTCATTGATGCCCTAATTGATGGTGAACCACAGAAAGCCATTGACATGTTCACAGATGCCATCAAGCTAAATCCTCATTTGGCTATTCTGTATGCCAAGAGAGCCAGTGTCTTCATCAAATTACAGAAGCCAAATGCTGCCATCCGAGGCTGTGACAGTAATCAGAAATAAACCCTGATTCAGCTCAGCCATATACAAGTGGGGAGGGAAAGCACAGAGACTTCTGGGCTACTGGGAAGAAGCAGACCATGATCTTGCCCTTGCCTGTAAGCTGGATTATGATGAAGACGCTAGTGCAATGCTGAAGGAAGTTCAACCAAGGGTCCAGAAAATTGCTGAACCTCGGAGAAAGTATGAGCAAAAACGTGAAGAGCGAGAGATCAAAGAAAGAAGAGAAAGGGTTAAGAAGGCTTGGGAAGAACATGAGAGAGCCCAGAGGGAGGAAGAAGCTAGAGGAAAATCAGGATCTCAGTTTGGCTCTTTACCAGGTGGCTTTCCTGGGGGCATGCCTGGAATGGGAGGGGGAACGCCTGGAATGCCAGGAATGGCTGGGCTCAATGATATAGTTAGTGATCCAGAGGTCCTTGTAGCCATGCAGGATTCAGAAGTTATGGTGGCCTTCCAGGATGTAGCCCAGAACCCAGCAAATATGTCAAAATATCAGAGCAACCCAAAGTTTATGAATCTCATCAGTAAGTTGTCAGCCAAATTTGGAGGTCAAGCATAATGCCCTTCTAACATAAAGCCCCTGCTGGAGGAAAAGCAACTTAGATCACCTAATGGATATTGCAATAATACAAACCAGTGTATCTCTGACCTTCTCATGAAGAAAACTGGGGTGCTTTGAAGATAATCCCTACCCCTTTCCCCCAAATGCAGCTGAAAACATTTTACAGTGGTTTTCCATTAGGGTATTCATTCAGATAATGTTTTCCTACTAGAAATTAAAAACTTTAAGCAATTTTTAAACCTTAAAAATATTTAAAATTAAAAAGGTGTATTAACACCTACATTTTTCTTTACTAATCACTTTGATTTTTTCCTTTGAATTAATTAGGCAAGGAAGACACATCAGTGTGGAAGATTTACTGTTCCAAATTTGAGTGAAATAAAGATTTGTTAGTGGGAGGCAAATATAACATTTAAATAGATAAAGTTTGATTGGGACATATGGTTACTGAGGCATTTTGATTTGTCTTTTTATTTGCTTTGTTATTATTATCTTAAATGATTTGCTTCTGTAACTCTTGGGACCACCAGTATTTCAGTAGGACCTGGAAGTCCTTGGCAGGGCAGCAGCCATCTTAATACATTTCATATCACATGTCCCCTTGTGCACAAGCAATTAAATCTTACACTGTGGTGAAGGGTTGGTTTTTATAATGCTGCAATAAAATTGGATTACTTAGCTTTGTCCTTGTCTGATACCTAAAATAAATGTTTCATATTTCCACATTGGGGGGGGGGGATGCGGAGGGAAACATCATGAGAGAATAAACCTGAGCCTCTAAAAATTCCAAGAAGCAGAAATCTTAAGGTATTTCTATCTTGTTTAAGTCAGTGTTGTTGTTGGGACTGCCTATAAGTAACAGAGATATTAAGCATATAAAAACCACCCCACCATTGTACATGACCACATGATTCAGACTGGCCCTTTATAGTGTTCCCTATTGCCACAGTGCTTAAAATTCTCCAAGCCAGGATTCAACAGTACATGAACTGTGAACTTCCAGATGTTCAAGCTAGATTTAGAAAAGACAAAGGAACCAGAGATCAAATTGCTAACATTCACTGGATCATTGAAAAAGCAAGAGCATTCCAGAAAAACATCTACTTCTGCTTTATTGACTACACCAAAGCCTTTGACTGTGTGGATCACAACAAGCTGTGGAAAATTCTTCAAGAGATGGGAATACCAGACCACCTGACCCACCTCCTGAGAAATCTGTATGCAGGTCAAGAAGCAATGGTTAGAACTGGACATGGAACAACAGACTGGTTCCAAATTGGGAAAAGGGCATATCAAGGCTGCATATTGTCACCCTGACTATTTAACTTATATGTAGAGTACATCATGAGAAATGCCAGGCTGGATAAAGCACAAGCTGGAATCAAGACTGCCAGGAGAACTATCAGTAACCTCAGATATGCAGATGACACCACCCTTTATGGCAGAAAGTAAAGAAGAACTAAAGAGCCTCTTGATGAAAGTAAAGGAGGAGAGTGAAAAAGTTGGCTTAAAACTTAACATTTCGAAAACTAAGATCACGGCATCTAGTCCAATCACTTCATGGCAAATAGATGGGTAAACAATGGAAACAGTAAGAGACTTTATTTTTTTTTTTTTTTTGAGCTCCAAAATCACTGTAGATGGTGACTGCAGCCATGAAATTAAAAGACACTTGCTCCTTGGAAGAAAAGCTTTGATCAACCTAGACTGCATATTAAAAAGCAGAGACATTACTTTGCCAACAAAGGACTATGTAGTCAAGGCTATGTTTTTTCCTGTAGTCATGTATGTGTGAGAGAGTTGGATTATAAAGAAAGCTGAGCACCAAAGAATTGATGCTTTTGAACTGTGGTGTTGGAGAAGACTCTTGAGTGTCCCTTGGACTGAAAGGAGATCCAACCAGTCTAACCTAAAAGAAAGCAGTCCTGAATATTCATTGGAAGGACTGATGCTGAAGCTCCAATACTTTGACCACCTGATGTGAAGAACTGACTCACTAGAAAAGACCCTGGTGTTGGGGATGATTGAAGGAGGGATGAGAAGGAGATGACAGAGGTTGAGATGGTGGATGTCATCACTGACTCAATGGACATGAGTTTGAGTCAGCTCCAGGAGTTGGTGATGGACAGGGAAGCCTGGCAAGCTGCAGTCCATGGGGTTGCAAAGAGTCGGACACAACCGAGCAACTGAACAGAACTGACCACCACAGTGGTGGCTGGCTTAGCAACAAGCACAAACTCTAAGTTGGATCAATCTAGGGGCTTCACAAAAACTTAGTCAATATAAGTGTCTTTCCTTTGGGCTGTTAGTCTGAATGATGTACGTATAGAAATGGTTGCAACCTCTTAATATCTGCTACCACATGGACACTGTTTCCACAGTAAAAGAGAATGTAGAAGGAACACAGAGGGAAACAAAGGTAGAAAAAAGGAGTAGAAGAGACAGAAAAATATTTGACATTATGTGACTTTATGATACCAACTGTGCCCATAGATTTACCAGTTCCTTACAGTACTCATTTGGTGGTGGGGGAGGGGTTGGTAGAATTAAGGTCCTTGAGTTGTGCTTTTGTTACTTAACCCTGTAAGAAATCTGACTTAACAAGTCACTTTTTATAAAATGGCCATTTTGGAAGACTAATTGTTTCAGGTGTCATACACACTTCCAATCCTCTTCGTTTTTGTAGATATTTTTACTACCTAAGTTACAATGGGGAAAAAAAGAGAATCCATCACGTGAAATCTCCTTTAACTTTTTAGACCATACTAATAATATCGTGTAATAAAACCTGTTCTATCCACTGTTATCCTTCTCTCCTTTGGTACTATGATTGGGAAATCTGCCCAAGTTTCTTTCCCAAACTAATATTCAGCCTCATCTTTCATTAATTTCTTCTCTAAACATACACTGAGCATTTGTTACTATGCGCTGGGCACCTAGTTTGACTCTGGAAACATACGATGACTAATACTCAGCACTTGTGCTATTTTGTGCTTAGTGGCTCAGCTGTGTCAGACTCTTTGTGACTCCATGGACTGTAGTCTTCCAGGCATCTCCATCCATGGGGACTCCCAAGGCAAGAATACTGGAGTGGGTTGCCATGCCTTCCTCCAGGGGATCTTCCCAACCCAGGGATTGAACCCATGTCTCCCACATTGCAAATGAATCTTTTTACTGTCTACGCCACCTCTTAAGAAACTCACAACCTAGAAGAGTACATGGACTTAGAAACAGACAGTTGATTGTTATTGTATTAAATGAATAAAAACATGCATAGAGCTTTGGGGAAGGAAGGAAAGCATTTCTGTAACCAAGCATGCAAGGGAAGGAAGAAGGAATGAGAAATAATATCTGGAAAAATCTAAGAGAAGAGAGACACTCTAATTGTAAGAGTTGGTAGGAGTCAGGCAAATAGGGAGAAAATATTCCAGTCAGAGGAACCCACTGTAGAGGACACAGAGATTAACAGTAGCATGGTGTGTGCAGGGAGCCACAGTTCTGAGTTGGTGGCAAAGTAAAGTCAAATGAGACAGCCAAGAAATAAAGTCCTTATGGTCATTGTAAAAGGTTTAACAGAGGGTCCACCCTGGAGAGTGGAATTATTGCAACATTTTAAGCAAAAGAGTGACATTAGAAATTTTCTATTTTATAAGCTTACTCTGAATGCTCTGAAGATCATAGAGGGGTATGAGATGAGAAAGAAAAATCATCTAAGAGAATATTTCTGGAATCCAAGGGATGAACAATGTGGCTTGCAAAAGGGTGAAAGTGGTAAGAAATATTTCAAAGATGGAGCTAACAGGATTTTATCAATGGGTTAGAAATGGACAAGAGAGGAAACTAGAATGGTACCAACAGTTTTGGCCTGAGCAACTGAGGAAATAGAAATGCGATGTGTCATGATGAAAAAGATTGGAAGAGAAACAGTTTCTAGAAGGAAATAAGGACATTATGTATGATCAAAGAATGATAGAGATGAAAATTAAGGATCCATATAGAAGTCTGGGCTAAGAGGATTAATCAGGATTGAAGATAAATTTAGAATGCATTAGCACTTATACATTATCTCAAGATAGGAGGCCGTGTAAGATGACTCAGAGAATAGATTATAACCAGAAGGGATCTGAAAACTCTAAGATGTTTCAACATTCAGGGGCCTTTACAAGATGAGGATTCAGCAGAGGAAAGAGAGGAAAGACCTGCCAGTGAGATTCAAAGATATCAGAAAGGAATATGTAAGAATGTTTCTAGGAGGAAGAAGTAACCAAATGCTACTGAGAGCTTCATTGTCAAATTTAGGGTTAGAAAACATTTCCAGCAACAGGATTCTGTCACCATTCTGTGCATCCCCCAACTCCAGCCTTAACCCTTATTCTGTCTCCACTGTAGTCCTGCCACCTGACAACTAGTTCTTGCCTAGAAGCTAGGAAAGTGGCCCTTC